CCTCTTTTGTATAGTATACCCTTGTGGAGGAGACTGTCTTCTGCTCTCTGCGGAGGAGAAGGCAGGTGAGGAGACAAAGTGAAATAATCAAAATGGTACAGAGAAGAGAAGGGAGGGGAGCCACAGGGTTGTAATTCGGCTGCAGCCCCCTCCCCTCCCCTCCCCCCAGCTTGACTGACTAAACGTCTTTTGGTTTTACTGCCAGCCATAAAACTAAAGATTTATTTACCAGCGAAAGCAAACAATTTCAGGGCTGAGTGAAAGGCGCAATTATGTCATTTAATGAGAGATGGAGCAATCAGCTCTCTCGAGCGAGTTTGTGGCAATGGAATATTGGAAGGTTCCTTATCTGAAGACACAATGCCACATTCATCTTGAGTTCTGCCATTTGCACTCGAACTGACGTCTTCGGCCACTCTCTCGGTTCCCTTTGGATTCAGGCCATTGTGCGTTCATCCTGCCCACTCTGTCGGATTTATTTATTTATTTATTTGGCGGCGGTGGCGAAAACTGTTCTGGAAGCCCGTCGCATCAAGTTTCATCACCCTCAAAGACGGTGCAGGAATGAAACAAAGCTTTCTGTCCAATTGCCCCTGTGGCTTGCAAAAACGTGAAAGTGGTTGAATTATCAGCAGCGCAGTTTTTTGCTCCAACGCTTTTGATGTTGATGTTCTCCTTTGATTTATTTCATTTAGGATCCCACCCATTTGGACAAATTTAACGTCTCCAGCTTTTTCCACGTGAAGAACAATTTGAAAGTGACTGACCCGGGTAAGAAGGATTGTGGAGACCTATAAGGAGGTAGTTAGCAACGGCAAATCCAAGTTGAGGCTTTGGATTAGCTCAAAGCATAGTGTTCTCTATTAAAAACAAGATACTGTTTTAATTTCCCACAAAGCCCCAAAGGTGTTTTGTTCACGTCTTTTTATTCTCTGCAGCCTTCCCAAAACTGGTGACCTCAAGATGTATCAAGATTAAACTCTCAAAGTTCCAGTAGAAGAGAATATCTGTAGCTCAGGATTGAACTGTGGAGTCCTTGGTGCTCTCTGAGCTTGGTTCTTTGTGATTGTAGTTGTATACAATATACAGTGCAGACATACAGTGTAAGGATTGTAAAGCTACTATGTAGGACAGACAGGCAGAAGACTAGCAGAGTGCATCTCTGAACACCAATGAGCAGTCAGAAGACACGATGAAAACTCCTTAATCTCACAACATATGGACAGATTCAACCATAGTTTCAACTAGGAAACTATGAGCATCCTAGAGCTAAATCCAAAAATGCTAGGGAATTCCTGGAAGCTTGGCCTTTAGACAAATCAGCCATCAATAGACATGTAGAGATAAACCACATTTGCACACCATTGGAAAGAGACAATAAAAAAAGCTAAGAAGGAAACAAAAAGACCAGAACACATCCTTTCCAGCATCCTACACCCAGATAAGCGGGGATTAATACCAGACAAACAAGCAGAAAACAATACCCTAATGAAGGAACTACCAAGGAGAAAACCAACCCTCCACCAACACTGGCAGAGCAAGCTACTGTATAGAAACAGGGAGCAAACCCCACCCTCACTAGCACTGATGATGTTACCTAGTTGGGTAATTAAATGTTTCCAAGCAAACAACCAAGCTCATGCTGATTCCTATCACCTTCCCCCAATATTTTGCTCTGCTGCTTTGTTGCATCTTTGGAGGGTCCAGAAACAGGTGGTGTCTTACTGGAACCACAATTGGGCCAGTTACCAGTTTTCCCAGGTTAGTAAAACCATTGCTTAACTGTTACAATGTGTTGCAGATGAGGAGAAGGCCAAATCCGACCCTTCTTATTACCTGAAAAATGCCAACATCGAGACCCAGGAGACCCTCTTGGAGCTTTACAAAGAATTCAAAGGGGACGATGTTCTGGCCGCCACAATGAAGGAGCCGGAGAAGAAGAAGGTGGATAAGTTGAATGCGGTAAGTTGATCTGTCAAGGGCCATTTTCAAAAGGGAGTGGAGGGTGTTGTTGTTATACAACAGTGTGTTTCAAACTTGGCAACTTTAAGGTGTGTGGACTTCAACTCCCAGAATGCCCCAGCCAGCATGCTGGCTGGGGCATTCTGGGAGTTGAAGTCCACACACCTTAAAGTTGCCAAGTGAGACATTTGGAATATCGAAATGGGAAGTGGGGGGTGTGCACCCACAGCGGCTGCCAGGAGAGGTTGCCTGTTCTAAAAATGTGTGGATTTCAACTCCCAGAATGCCCCAGCCAGCATGCTGGCTGGGGCATTCTGGGAGTTGAAATCCACAAACTTGGCAACTTTAAGGTGTGTGGACTTCAACTCCCAGAATGCCCCAGCCAGCATGCTGGCTGGGGCATTCTGGGAGTTGAAATCCACACACCTTAAAGTTGCCAAGTTTGAAAAACACTGACATAGATGAATGGGACTCACTGCATCAATAGTAATAGGATAGAATTTTCTCTTTGCTGTTTTTTGTTTAAACTCTAAGCTGTCCAGAGTCATTCTGAGTGGCCTCGAAATCGAATCAGTCACCATCTGCTTTAAGTCTGCATGGGCCCACCATGGCTACCATTTTTAGAACAGGCAACCTCTCCTGGCAGCCGCTGTGGGTGCACACCCCCCACTTCCCATTTCGATATTCCAAATGTCTCCCTGATGTCCCCATCTGTTGCTGTTTTAACAGGCTCACTATTCCACAGGCAGAGTCAGCGCCTCTTTCACATCCACGGCCATGGCCCCGGAGACAACGCACGAAGCAGGTAGAGCTCGATTGGGAATCTCTCCCCCCACAAACCCCCGCACCCCCGCTGCGGCTTCTGAGACTGAGAGCAGAAGGGGCCTTTTCAGAGACCGCCAGTGGGCTTCTCTGAGGAGCAAATTGTTGCTTTGAATCTGGAAAAACGCAGGTTTATTCTCCAGCACTGTGGTCATAACGCCATGGTCCGCGCTCCCTGATTCAGGAGGAGAGGCGTTTCTGGCCATTCACAGGACCTTGGGCCTGATTTTGATGCTCTTCTGCTCTATTATACCCTGTTCTTATTATCTCCTGCTTCACAAGGCAAGGAAAGGGTTCTGATTACAGCTTCTGGAAATCATGCACCAGAAAGCCTGGGGAGGTGACATATGCTTTTTTCTAGGTCATATGACCAGGAGGGAGGGGTTAGAATGGAACGGTCCCCAACATGCTCCTTCCATAGACCCACCCCTAAGATGTGGCTTAGGATCCAGCCCATTTTTGAGTAGGTGTTTTGGTGGCTTCTCCCATGACCTCAGTTGGGGTCCTCTTCTGTTTTTGGAGACGTTTCCCACCGAGGGATGACAGAGTCCTGATCTCTCTTAACATAACTTCTTTCCAGCATTTGTTTGGTCAAACTATGAAAAAGACATGGCTAGATCTTAAAAAAGAATCCCAGAGCAAAGACAATGTTTGTACGTCAACACTGAGATTTTAACAGGGGAGGGACAGTCTTGGATGCCTGGGCCTAAGGTTAATTCCCACAGTTTAGCAGCATCTGGGATGCCGACCCTCCCAAATTCAGGCCACCCAGCTAAGAAAAGCTTGCTTTTCAGCAGTGCCTGTGTTGTCATCCAGAAGCAATGTGAAAATCATCCTAAGTGGCAAGGCAAAGGAGTCTGGTTAGTTGCAAAGGGAGTGCCACACATTAAACCAACATTTGGATGTGCCCTTTGCCTCTGTGAACAGCTGCCATTGATGATGATGTGGTGCGCTACCAGTTCGTGAAGAAGAAGGGCTATGTCCGGTTGCACACCAACAGAGGGGATCTCAACCTGGAGCTGCACTGCGACATGGTAAGGAGATAGTCTTGCTCATGACCATTGGTTACCATGTCTTCAGATCCATACCCTCAAGGTAGATGGTGCTATATGTCCTATGGGCCCCAGTGGTGGTGATGATTTGGGGAGGGAGTTATGGGAACTCTAGTCCCACTTGCCTGGAAGGTGCCACATGAGGGAAGGGAGTTCTTTTGCTTTAATGGGTATTTTTCCAGGTGTGCTCCAGAGCTTGGAGTTCAACTGTTTGTGGTGGGGTTTCAGACCAGTCAGATAGGACCCGGAATGAAGGTGTGACTTTAAAGTTGTTTTGGAAGAAACAGAACCATGGCTCTTTCCTTTTTTTAAAATTGAACAGTAGTTAAGAAAAATTGACAAGTTGTCAAGTGACATAAATCTATAATGTGAAGAAAAGGGGGTGATTTTCATTCAAAAATAATTAGTAGAAAAGAACAGATAAGAAACCCCTTCGTATTTGCCACCTATCAAGGGTATTACTGATGATAACTCTGTTATAGTTATGATAATGTGTAGAATCTACCTGGATTTGCTAAAATGTTGGTTTCTGCCTTTGATGTTGTATTATTCTGACTTCAACCTTTTGTAGTGTGGCAGATGAAGAAGCCTTATTGACCCACATTTCAATTGTTAGGTTGTCTTCAGATTTTCCATTGTTGAATAATTATTTAGTTCCTTAAGAGCTCTCCTGGTATTAAATACAAAATATTGTCTTCTTTTATTTAGTTGAATGGCTAGAACCTTGTGAGGTATTGCTGTTTCCACCAGAAATCCTGCAAGTTTCTGGGCAAGAATGCCAACATTATATGAGAATGGGTGATTTTTGGATATTTGGACTGGTATATATTTTAGTGCCTGCAAAATATATGCCAGTCCAAATATTCTTCTCCCTGTTTGTTGAATAACACTGAGATGAGGGGATGAATGCTGAAGGATTCCATAGCTTTCGTTTTTAGGAATAGCACCAGAGTGGATTGTTTTAAATAATTTGTTTAGCTTGATGTCACAACATCACCCATTTCAAGCACCATTCAGTTGCTGGTGTTGCTTTTGTCTTTGGGGGATTTAGGTCTAAATTCTGGGTGGCTTTTCTTGCAATTAGATGTAGTTTGCCTCAGCGCTTTGGAAGACTTCTTCAAGAATCCTAGAGTTGGAACGAGGCTGTTGAGGTCATGGGGTCCAGATCCCTGCTCTGTGCAGGAATCCTAATTAAAGCAACCCTGACAGATGGCTGTCAAGAGCCTTATATTGTTGGAATCACACTCTTGTACAGTGGCGCAGTGCCACATGCATCTCTTTGATTTGAAGTGTTGAAACCAAGTCATGTTTATGTGGCTTCCACTGAAGACTCTTGTATGTACTTGTGAAGATTTCAGGAGCCAGTAGGTTAGGTATCGCTGAAGGAGATCATTTTGGACAAAATAAGGTAGTTGAGAATGGCAGGGATGACTCATGAATGGACGGAAGAAGAAAATATAATCCAATGGACCTGCCAAGACACTAGCACCGTGCCTTACTTGTGGGCCCAGTCATTAAGCTTCTCCTCCTTGGGGACATTTTGATTGTTTGTACCATATTTGTAAACTACCCTAATCAATCAAGACTTGGGACTTTGAATAACGAAGCAAGGAGAACAAAAAGACTGCAGTAACAAAAGCAGCATTTATTTTTATATATTTATCAAATTTGCATGCCTGTGTGAGTCACAATGAAATTGGCAGCATACAAATCTGATAAGTAAGAAGGCAGTACCTAGGAAAGATCTCAGCTTGAAAAGGCCCAAGAGATTTCAAGGACTTGGGTTGAATTGACAACTGCCTTGGAGCATATAGGCTCTTGAGAACTCTCCAAGGTCCTTTAATTCCTTTTCAGCCCTTCCTGGTAACGCCACCCATCGTCCACCATGGATTTTCCCTTTAGGGGCAGGCAGGGTGTTTGTGTGCTTTAGGGAAAAGGACTTGGGGTAGATGCAGGTGGACAGAACTGATTGCAGACGGTCCACATATAAAGCAGCAAATGGGAGAGGAAGGATGGAATGTCTAAAGATGCAAAGCACGGAAATGCATTTTCAATCTAGCGACTGAATTCTTCATGTGCTTTGCATTTGAAAGAAGCAGGAACGGGCTTGGGCTGCTAAGAGGTGGAAATCTGTGGTGATGACATGGATGCGTATTTTGTCCAGCTCGGTGCTATCTTCTTTGCTGTGTGTGGACCTTATTTTTCAAGGGTGGCTCCCCGAAACAGAAAACAAGCATTTTATATCTATCAGAAGACACAGTAGAAGATGGATGACACAACTGATTTGGCAGAGTTAGGAGAGCAATTGCATTTCTTGATTGCAAAAAGAAAACGGGGGTATCTGGGTTGTAACCCAGATCATGTCTCTTCCACCTGCAGAGAACTTGACTTAAAATAAAATATCTTCAGTCAAAGATTTGTAGATTTCGCCAAGCTCTGTCAAAGAGCTACTGACACGTAGCAACCTGGAGTATCTCAGAGCCAAGTTGTTTTTAATTCCTCTTTGCAATGTTGCATATATATATTTTTTTTCTATAACATCCCTTTTCAGTTCTCCCATGTTTCCCAGTCATATAATCTTGAAAAAATACAAAATCCCATGGTGAAGTTTGGTTTTGTTCTTTTTTTAACCCAGTGACCATATCTTCCCCCATTCCAACATCCTTTTGCTTGGACAAATTGTGGAACACCCGAGCAAGGTTTTTTTTTCCCCCCTCCTTGAGAGAGAACTTAAAGCAGAAATTTCCAAAATCTGGGATTGTTATGTAAGTGAAGAAATGGCGGGAGAAAAGGAGGAAAGAACTGACTTCTCTTTCCAGTGGAGCGAAGAAGCCTTAACTGGCTTTTCCTGTATTCTCTTTCAGAAACGTTGCTAAGGCAACTGCTTGCTTGCCAGAATGCTATGCACCTTGCATGATGCGCACACAGTGGCCATGGGAACAGGCTCTTTCCATGAGTGTGGAAAGAGAGTGTGTCTGTGCGTGTGTGTGTGTATATATATATATGTGTGTATAAAAATATAAATATAATCAGGGGAAAATAATTTGCAGCCTACAGAGTATTTGCAAAAGAAAGAAGTCACTGGTCCCTTCCCACCATTCGCTAAATTCATTATCGTTTTACTGAGTGCTCAAATGTGGTTGTGTGTTCTCTCCTGGGCTCTCACTCCAAGGAGAATTCATTTTTCCCTTAAAAAAAAAAAGTACTTTGCAAAACAATGCCCCGTCTTGTGTTGTCAGTGGCTTCTTTTATTGTTGTTGGGGTGCCAAGTGGCATAAAATCTGCTTATTCTTTAATTCACAAAGAAATGGAAACCCAGCTTGTATGTCTTTTCTCTGAATTCCTTTGGCCCTTTGAACCAATAGGCAGAGGGAGGTAGAGGTGGTTTCTGCTGATCATTTGTTACTGAGTTTTTACCTCCAGAGAGAAGGGGAAGAGAGACCTGTTGTGTCTGCTCCCTGTAGGGGAAAGGCAGATAGCCTTAAGGTCCCATATCTGGGTTTGTTGGGTTGGTCAAGCCAAGATGTGATTTGCTGATGATACCTGAAGCAGCCCTCTTTGGACAGAAAGGCAGGGCATAAATCAGTGGAAGAAAAGAGGGAAGTATCTTTGGTTGTAGACAACACATCTTGTTGCATAAGACAAAGGAAGAGGGCTCTTTTCTCATACTTTGTCCCAAATCCAGTCAGACCAGGAACATCTTCCACCATGCTGTTCTCTTTCTTCTTGTGTCCCGTATTTGAGGTTTAAGGCTGATGAGTGACAAATGGCAAACAGTTCTAAACATCTGGATCAATGTTTCCCAACCTGGGCAACTCCTGATGTGTGGATCAACCCCCAAAGTTCTCAGCTATGGCCATGTCGGCTGGGGAACTCTGGGCGTCCACACATCTTCTTGGCCGTTGCCTAAGTAGGGAACCACTAAAGAACAGCTGATTCTCTGCCTCTAAGCTAGAATGATCTCAGCCATGGCTATTTTGCTGTTGTTCGTGCCGTGAATTATACAGTTGGTGACTTTCCTGTGTAAAGAAACCTTGATTTAATTATAAGCAGGCTGTTTTTTTTTTTCCTTTCCCAGACCCCTAAAACCTGTGAAAACTTCATTAAACTGTGCAAGAAAAAATACTACGACGGGACCATATTTCACCGATCAATTCGTAATTTTGTGGTGAGTATTGAGCTGGAAGGCCAAAGACATAAATGTTTGGTCTGCAAACTAGAGAGCAGTCGCTGTATCTTAATTAATGGCTGCCCTGGTGCTGCTGCTGCCATCCCCTCTGGATTGGCTGCTGCAGTGGACATAAACTAAGGCTGACAGGAACAGAACATATCCCTGAGTGAGAGAGGGCTGCTTGTTTGCCTTGCAACCCCCGTTGCATAAGTCAAGCTGTCAGCTGCTGAACCTCAGAAGCTGCATTTTCAGATGCCTCTTGCTTTGTAGAGGCTGAAGCTGGAGTTAGGTGGGCGACAGGAAGGCATCAACCCCCAAGTCTGGGTTTGTCAGTGTCAGCCTTGTGAGGTAGTCCAGACAGGAAGCGCACCCAAATGAACTAATTCTACTTTATCGTAAGGTTACATTAACCAAATCTTGCAAGTCTGAAAGGACAATTCTCTCCCTTCGCCTTTACAGCCCAAGAAACTAGGGAGGTTCCCTTCTGAGACGCTCTCCACACTTCCATTCCTTCTGTGGGCTCAGCTGCCTCTTATCCGATCGTTCCCCTGGCTGTGGCTCTTCCCCCTGTCTCCCTAGGTCATTCCCGCATACCATTGCACTTAGTATTGTCTCCTACGTTGTAACAAAGACAGGCCAGGCTTCAACTCCCATAACAGTTTGTAACAGGTTCCACCCTGCAGGAAGCAGTGTGAATCGTTGACATCCGGGCTTCAATGGCAGGACGCACTGTAGGCACCCCTGGACACTGCATGCATGACCTGAGAGTGGAGGGGGGTTGAGACCGGCTTTGGCAGTCCTCTAATGGGGAGGATTTAAGTCTGAATTGAGGAAGGTGGCTGTGTACCTCCCATCCTCAGAGCCATGAGCCATGTGATTGTTTTTGGCTTAGCAAGCTGGGGGAAGGTGGCCACTGCTGTTTGCAAACGTGGCTTTAAGCCCAGCCATGTAGCTTAAGCCCAGCCCATTACGACTTATTCAGCTCATCATATTTAAGCAAACCACCGCTTCAAGGTGACGCATGAACTTCTGGGTTCATCTTTGGGAATTAGATCGCTGAGCTGTTTTAGCCAGCATTGCCAACTAAGAGAGCAGGTTTTCAAAGCCTGTGGCAAGATATTATTTCCCTGCTCAGTTCCTTGAGAGCCATGGAAATGGAGAAGCTGGAAACTCAACTGTCCTCCCTCTGTGTTGGACTCTGACCCACAGTCTACCCTGTGAGGAATTCCGCCTGGAGAAATTGAGGGTTTTGCAGCCTAAGCTATTTCCCCTTTGCCAATCCAGAAGACTTCCCTTTTTTTCCCCCACTCCCTGTTCAGCTGCTGAAAACCCGATTACTGTAATTTGGTCCTTTCAGGAGATAACTGATTGATTATGGCAGTGCCATGATAAAAGGAGCAGGAAATAAGAAAGAATGGCTTTCTTTTCCCAAGTCTGCTGATAAAAAATAACATCTTGAATGATCTCAGCAATAAATCCATTGCTGTTCAGCGTTTCTCCCACCTTACATTTTCTTTATGTTTCGATTGCATAGATTCAAGGAGGAGATCCAACTGGGACTGGAACAGGTAAAAATTTCAGGTTTTCTTCCTCCCTCTTATGTGATTTAGTTCTTTGTAGACGTTGTAGGAGGAGAACCGTATTAGTCTATGGTAGCAGAAAGCAGGAGGAATCTGCTGTCATTATTAAATTAATAAACTAAATTATTCATACCTTAATAAAAAGAATAATAAAAATGGGTAGTCTGAAAAGGTGTTACCAGACTCCTTCTGATCTTTAGTTTTTTGTACCACTTGTGATCTGTGTTTTTGGGTTCACAACTTAGATGAATTGCAGCTCGAAACCATTTTTTTTCCCACCCACGTTAGCGTATTTTCTGCATTTAAAGTCAACAAGTTCAAGATGAAAAGCAGCCATGAGAGTCTTACTTATCTTTCCTTCATGCTTATAACAAAAACCAAAGAATACCTATTCTGGATAACTTACATTGACCATAGGAGTGTGTGCTCAAGATGCTTTCAATCGTTGAGAAAGAAAGAATGGAGCTATTTGGAAAAAAGGCAACTTGGATTGATTTGGAGGCATCTCAAGTGGTTATTCCATTTCTTTCACTCCACACAGTTTCCTGTTCCAGTGCCTCAAATTAGGAATGTTCTTTACTTTCTCTTCCTCAATAGGCCTTTTCGTCTTCAAAGTGTTTATTATTTTGTACGCGAGCAAACTGAAGTGATGACTTCTGCTTATGAGTGTGCTGCTGTTTTGACTTCCTGAATTCAGCAGGAATGGCCTGGGTACTCAGGCCCAGGTTCCCTTCATCGGCTGTCTTCTCTGGCTCTTTAGAACGGTGGGCATAACACCACCCAGTCTAATTGCATTCTCTTCCTGTAAGCCTGTTGCTAGGAGGAAGAGATCTGCCTGGAGACAGAGCTGTTTAGCTAGGGAGAAGGGCACGCCGACCCCCTCCAAGAGTCCCCTGCGGGCTCAACCAATCTCTCCAAGTGGCCCTTTGGAACTCAAATGTGGCCAGTCTTGGTCTATAGCTTTTGATAATAGGACCTCTGTTGCAGGGGGTATTTTATGGCCGCAGTTGAGTTTGAATTAGGATTCAATGTCGGGTTAATTCAAGCAGTGTTCTCTTGGCTGAGTTTAATGTTGAACAGAAACAAGTGTTTGTTATTTCATGCATGGCTGTAGGTTGCACGGTATTTGTATTAAAGGGTTTAAAATAAATCAGGCCATTGGATTGTCCAGACCAGTGTTGTCCATCCTGGCCTTCTCAGGCCTGGCACACTGCAGAGGAATTGGCCTGCAGTCAACAGTCAGTACAGCCCAGGGAGCATGGGAGTTGTAATCCAACACATTTGGCTTACCGATTGGGGAAGGGGGAAGAAGCTCAGCCTGGGACTTCCGGCATTCAGAATGGGGCCTCCACCATAGAGCTGTGACCTTCTCCGACAACCACTGGAGTTTGGACCCTGTTTCTCCAAACACTTGCAGGGCCTCTTCCAAAGCCCCACCAGAATCGGTTTATTTCAAGAACAGCAGACAGAAAAAAATAAAAAACGCCAGGCTTCTTGCTCCTATTTAGCCTGAAAGACAGAGAGAGCGAGCAGTTGTAGAATTGCTTCTGGTCAAGCATGGAAGTTCTCCTCTGAGTTTAATCTCATTCTTAGGCCCTGGTCGCTTCAACCAAACTAGATTGACCCGAACCCCGCTTTGCTGGCCTCATATGGAGGCAAAATTGAGAGGCAGCCAGTAACGGGACATCGTCGTAACTAAATCCAGAAATCAAGTTTTGGTAAAGTCCCTAATCCTTAGAGGCTGATCCCACACCCGGTTCTTGATTCTGCAGTAATGGAAACCTTTAAGAAACAGATGGGGAAGACAGAAAGTGAGCACACTCCACTGTATTTAGATAGATCTGTGCTACTGTTAGATGGCTGAAGGCGTGGGGAAAAACAAGCATGTGTGTCTGTTTTTCCTGGGGGAAATCAAAAAAGGAAGAGAAGCATTTCTCAGTTGTTTTTTCTATGCCTGGAGTTGCATTTAAAATATGTATTCCTGAAAGGGGTGGGGGGAGATATTTTGGTGCCTTTATCCCGACAGCCCTTCAGGTGGCAAAAATTTGCTTGAGCTTTTAGCAGCAGGCTCTGGAGCACAGTCTGCTAAATGCCAAAGACCCTCCTCAGTGCTCCAAAATCATACCATATTTCTTGCTCTGCAATCCCTCACTCTTGATTTTACCCAAATTCTAGCCTGCTGAAGAGCTCCAAACTTGATTCGCTCTTTTGGGGACCCTGTACTTCTAACAAAGAAGTTATGTAGTGTGGATTTTATTTTACTTTTTTTAATGAAAAAAAGCCATCTGCTTTGAGTTTCTCCTAGAATTCCCTTCTCCATTGTTTGCCAGCACAGGTCTCAACATGCTAGGAGGGGGAAGAACAAAACTTGGCAACCAAAATTGCCCACTGCATCTTCTTTCCGGGGGTGACTTGCTTAGAAGATAAATAATTAACCCCAGGCCAGCCTTCCACCCTGCAGGGGAAAATTCTTGTAGAAAGAGAGAGCGCTAACCGTTTATTTGCGGGCAGAAAGGTTTTGTAAGCTTGTTCTCTTTTTGCAGTTTTTGCAAAGCAGCAGATTGTGTCCATATTTCTTTGGGTCAATTGTGCCCTTTTGCAACAGGGGGACACTGGAAAAAAAAACAATGTAGGCTTATGGTAAAATATTTTGCTTTGTTTTCCTGCAGCTGGAAGCCCTGCAATGGGGAGGCTGTTTTGGAGGCCAGAACTGGGGAGGAATGTTGGAAGGGTTAAGCAACCCGTCTCTTGATATTTCTCTGCTCAAAAGCTCTTCTTGAATCCTTACAGCCTTTAATAAGGAGGCAGAATAATTCCCAAGAAGCAGGGAGCTTGAGCAAGATGTTTCCTTCCTTCCTTTATTCCCTCCCTCCCTCTTCTCTGACTTCTTCCTTCCTTTTCTCTCTCCCTTCCTCTTTGTCTTTTCCTTCCTTCCTTCCTTCCTTCCTTCCTTCCTTCCTTCCTTCCTTCCTTCCTTCCTTCCTTCCTTCCTTCCTTCCTTCCTTCCTTCCTTCCTTCCTTCCTTCCTTCCTTCCTTCCTTCCTTCCTTCCTTCCTTCCTTCCTTCCTTCCTTCCTTCCTTCCTTCCTTCCTTCCTTCCTTCCTTCCTTCCTTCCTTCCTTCCTTCCTTCCTTCCTTCCTTCCTTCCTTCCTTCCTTCCTTCCTTCCTTCCTTCCTTCCTTCCTTCCTTCCTTCCTTCCTTCCTTCCTTCCTTCCTTCCTTCCTTCCTTCCTTCCTTCCTTCCTTCCTTCCTTCCTTCCTTCCTTCCTTCCTTCCTTCCTTCCTTCCTTCCTTCCCCATTAAGAAACCCACTTCCTTGTAACATTACAATTGTCCAAGAAGTTGGCATGTCCCAGTTGCCTCTTCTGCTTTTGAAACATCACGGGCTTTTGTTATTTTGGCTTAGCTTTTGAAAAAGCATCAACGGACGGAATCTAGCCAGCTAGCAAGAGGGAGCCAAACTTTTCCTTGATAAAAGAAACAGGAATAAATATCTGCAACTACTTGTGTATTGATAGGAACGTAGTGGCCCAAAGCAGAGGGAGTCCCCTTCTTGCACTTGTGTTTTTGAAAAACAATGCCACCACATCAGATGATGTCTGTTTGTCTCCTTACATGGGACTCACATGGGTCCCGTGGAAGTGTCAGTGTGTACCAACCCCTGAGTAGCTCAAAGCCAACCTGGAAAAGGTGCCTGTGACTTGGAGAGTCCCTGTAGTCCATAGAGAGAGTTCTGAATTGGTGGTTTCTCAATAAGGGCAGCTAAGAATATAGGGGAAATGCAGGAGTTCCTATGAATGAACTGAATTGAGTTCTCCTTAAAGGGGGAAGAATTTGATGTATGTACAGCTCTGTTTGCCTGCAGGGCAGCAGGAGTGGGTAGGGGGAGAAGGTTCAACTGTGCTGCTGGTTGAGTTCTACTTTTGATCTACAGTATATTCTCTCTTTGCGCTTGATGACGTATCCAGCTGCTGGGTAGAGCACACACGCCAGGCACCTCCTGAGTGCCGCAGATGTCTCTGTGAACTGCTGTCCTGCAGCGATACAATTTCTCCAGAGGACTCTTGAGCGTGCTCTTACAAGCAGCCCAAACCCAGTTTCTTTCCAAGACTCCCTCCCCCTTCCAAACAAAATTACTTCTTCACATGCACAGCTAGCCTGTTGCTTTGTTTCAGATAACGCTGCAAAAGAGAAATACATCTACTCCCTTTCATGGTTTGTCAGTGGAGAGTATAAGAGGTTGACTCACTAATTATGGAAATGAGCCTTTTCAGCTTCTTCTTTTTTTTGCTCCTGATAAGGACCAATACTGTAGGAAAATGAAAGCACTTCATCTGTCCTTGAGCAATGTGGAAGTAACAGCCATGCAAGCAGGGGGGGATTCAGATGAGATTCCACGTTGGGTCTGTACAGGAGCAAAAGTCAGAAAGACGCAGTAAGGCAGGTTAGGAATCCTGAGTGGATTCCATGGAGATGTCTCCTGTGGAAGGAGGTGGAACAGTTCTCCTAGTGCAAAGTGAACATTGCGCGTGAGAGGTGCTTAACTCTCTTTCAAAGCTTTGCTGTTTCCAATGGCAGAAAGTAAATTTGGATCCACTGATAAAACTGACTAGGTTTCTTTTTAGGGAACTGGCAAAGATTTCTGGCACCTAGCCATTGAGCAGTAGTAACAACAAAGCTGCTCCTTTGTCTTTCCTGTAAATTGTACAGCCGAAAATTTGGGATTCACTAGGGATGGATTCTTCTGTGGGTGGAGGGTCTGTAGGTTCGATTCTTCTACAGTACTTGAAGTGAAGTCCAGAGTTCAGCATCCCTTGATTCTGTGTGTGTTCTTTTTTTCATTGAGCTTGGGTTGATGATGGATATGGGGGATCAGGTAAGACCATCTAGACTTGGTTGTGCAAAGTCTAGAAGAAGGCCACTGCGGGTAGCTGGACCAAAGAGCCAACCAGAGTACAAATATCTCCTCCACCATCCACGGAACGTGCATCTGAATAGCTGTGGCGCAATGTAAGAGTTGCCTTGAGGCAGCATGTAGACTTTCTGTTTTGTGTAGAAAGTGCTTGCAAATCCATCTTCCCAGCTTCATCCCTGCCCGTCCTCATTCTGTCAGGGTGGAAGCAGGGCCGGCTTTCGAACATTTCCGTGTTTTAATTTCAGGAGGAGAGTCGTACTGGGGAAAGCCGTTCAAAGACGAGTTCAAGCCCAACTTGTCCCACACGGGACGAGGCGTCCTCAGCATGGCCAATACGGGGCCCAACAATAATAAGTCTCAGTTGTAAGTGGCGATTTGACCCTTCTGATTTCATAGCACGCTCCCGCCTGGAGGACGTGGAAACCTTTAATGAGTGAGAACTCTTCTCCAGGTTGGATCTAACCCTGAAGCTGTTCTTCTCTTTATCTTCATCTGCTTAATGTTTGCGTCTGTACTTTGTCATTAAAAAAAAAAATGCCTGTAGGGCATCTTGAGAACCATCTGGAAGAAGATTTTAAAAAACAACTACTAAACACTGAACCCTATTCTTTGTAACCAATCTCTGCTGGTCTTTCTTTAGAGACTGGACCAAGTGACCTCCCAAAACAGTTTTCCAGTGCCTCTAATGGCCTTTTATTTTTAAGAGTTGGCTGATGTGCCCTGTTAACAATGAACCTCTAGGTGTTCTTCTAGACACACACAACCTAGGAGGTCACCAGACATCTCTCTCCCCAGATATGTATCTTGTTTTATTTTACATGCATAAGTTCGCACACAACTCTGCCCCACAAGCAGTGCCACAGATAACTGGATGAAAGGCAAGTGTGTGATTGCTGCGAATTGAAATTCAGTAGTTTCTGGAGAGGCCTCTGGCTCACTCCTGCATCGCATCATGTGTAAAATACACACTTCCAAGAATGCTGTGAATTAAATCTTAATCAACCAAGTCATGGGCTTGGCATCTTGTACTGGGTTTCAGAAGCAGCCGATTACAGAGCCAATTCTGTGATAACAAATGATCAGTGCTCATTTTAGAAATGTTTCCAACTTCAACTGGAAAGGTTGAAGCTTGGTTTCCACTCTCTGCCATTCCATCTGTTGAGATCGGTATATATCTTCTTCGAGCTGGTACAATTTGGCTGAAATGAGTCACAGCTGTTTGTGGCACTGCAGTTCGGTTTTTTGGAAGCTCTTGATGGATTCATTTTATGACATGTTTTTTTTTTTCCTCCCCACCAGCTTCATTACTTTCCGTTCCTGTGCATACCTGGATAAGAAACACACCATATTTGGAAGGTAAACCAAGTGATTGCACGATATCGTATGCAACATTTCATAGTTATCTTAATAGCAGTCATTGTAGCAACCAGTTTATTTAAAAAAAAAAAAGATTGGAGAAAGCTTGTTTTGCAAGCGCCCTCTCCTATAAAATAGCTCAAATTCATGAACATGCTTACCAACGCAGCCCAAGCGAAGAATGCTATGATTGTTTCATGGAGAATTCTTTAGAAACCAGTGTTCTGCCATATGTAAATCAAAGCTTTCCTTGTTGTCCCCATTGGAGCCTAGCTTGAAAGGTCTAAAAGCATGGAGTCTGTTCAGACATTAATAATTTGAGTGCTCCGCCTGGTACAGATCAAGGGTCGTTCTTCTGCTCTCTGAAGTTCAGCCTTCCAATAATGGAAAAAGCCAATTCTGCAGGGGGCTGATTGGTTGGACCCTGTAACTCTCGCAAGGCCCAATCAACATTGGTGCCCTTTTCCTAGCCAGACATCTCAACTGCTGATGAGATAGCCCTTATGGCAGTCACAAAGCCACAGCCACCTGTCCCCCAAGTCAATACTTAAGGAGAGAGAGGTTTAAATGGATTGGCTTACATGGAAGTATATATAAACCTGGTGCATATTGTTCTAAGCAGCAAGCTAGACTTAAGCAGGGGAAGGGGAGAAAATGAACACGAGTCGGGCTGAAAATTGCATCAAGGAGCAAAGGTGGGAAGGAAGAGCTCATCTTCTAAAGGACAAACTTCATCTGCTCCTTCCCTCGCTGAAATGTTGACGTGTTTTTCTCCAATTTTCTCCTGATCTGCCCTAGCAGTTATGACTACTTGGAACATGGATTTTGTCTTTGCCTGGGTCATATTGGGACTAAAATCAGCCTCTTGGAGCAGCATGGTTTTTTCTAAGGGGAGGTTTCCAAACGCTGAAAGCTAAGGGATGGGGAAGACCTTTGCATTTCTGTGTTGAAAGAGACACTTATTTGGGTCACTGTATGGCACTGTATCACTCCAGATGCTACTTGTTGCAAAGAGGAGGAAGTGCCTGTCCTGTCAGTTTTTCTAGATTGTTTCAAAAGAGCAATTTTCATGATGATGTGTTGCTCTGTGCTTTTGATTAGTTCAGATGTTAAGCCCATCTATGTTTCTTTTTTTTTAAAGCTTTCTGAATAGAATTGTACAAGGACAGTGGTACTGAAAAAAGATGAACATTTTGAGTTTTGCAGCAGGTGGTGGTCTGGACATTTTGAATGATCTCAAGTCCTAATGAAAGACCCCCCTCCCCCCAAAAGAAGATATTCATGTTAATGGAACACGGAAGGGGAGCTTCCAAGCTTTAAATCGTAAGGGCCCTCCAGGGGCAATTAAAAATGTCAGATGGGTTTTGAATCCGCAACAATGAGAAGAAAATCTCTTGTCAGGAAAAAACGGGGCCACTGTGGGTTTTCCAAGCTTCGTGGACATAATTTGCATAGCAGCTGGTCTGAAAAGCTGCCGCTGAAGAGTTTTATCCCCCTTGCAGGTTTCAAAGCAAAGAGAATGAAGAAGCTCTTGGTTTTATTTTGGATAAATTAAAATAATAATAAAGTATTTATCTCACAATACCAAATGGAGAACTGCCCATAATTCAAACAGAACTCCAAGTAGACTTTTTTTTTTTTAAATAGAGTAAGCTGTAGGGTCAGATTTTGCAATTCGTGTTCCTCCTTTTGTTTTTCCATAGCTAGCTCAGACCCACTTCCAAAAGAAAGGTAAAAAGACATTCGCATCCCAGCTGACCCACCGAGTGAAAGAGCAGAGTTTGTGAATTTTGAAGAATAGCCGGATGAAAGTTGGTAGACCTCCCACACCAAAAGGAGGCCCATCTTTTAGCTGGTTTTTAGACAAGAAAAGTGGTAGGATCTGCAGAAGATATTGCCGTGACTTCTGCTTTGGGCAGTTAAAATGTTGTCTCAACCCCCCACCCCAGATTGTCTGCAGCACAGTGAAAGATTTGAAAAGAAGGCACGTTCCCCAAAGTCCTTGGATTTGGAATATGTCATTAGCATTCTTTAATAAATGAAACAACTTTAAACACTCCAGCTGTCTTCCATTTAGTGCTTCTGATTTCACTTTGACTTATGAAGGCTACCACCGAGCAGCCTTCTGTTTCCTACCTCAGCTTGGCATATAAAGCTCTTTCCTTCCTCTAACGTTTGAAGAAGTCAGGTGGGTTTTTTGCATTCCTTTACTCCATGGGGATTTGTCTTCCTTCCCCCAGGGTGGTCGGCGGGTTTGAGACGCTCACCGCGATGGAGAACGTGGAGAGTGATCCCAAAACGGATCGTCCCAAGGTCAGTGTCGTTCGGCAGAAATCAAACTGAAAAAGTCAAATGGTCTTAGGTACGTTCACCCTTTCAACTCTGGACCAAGAAACAGCGACAAGCCTGTGCAATTTTTTTGTTTCTGTTCTCTTTTCTTAGGAGGAAATAAAAATTGAGTCAACCACTGTTTTTGTTGATCCGTACGAAGAAGCAGATTCTCAGGTAAGAACGAGAAGCAGTGGCATTAACTTGCCAGTAGAAAGAGTTCAGGAAGAAAACTGATTGTGTGCCGCTCACGTACCCTTCACTCTCCCAAATTCTCTCCTATTTGCTTTTTCTTTCTTTCTTTCTTTCTTTCTTTCTTTCTTTCTTTCTTTCTTTGAGGGATGGGAAAGAGAGAGAGACTGGAATTTTTGCATTTACAAGATGTAGCAGTAAGTAATCAGAAGTTGCTAAGCATCATTCTGTCAAAAGCTATCAGCCACAGTGGGCAGATGGAATACTTCTGGGCATGAAGGAAAAGGGAGAGAAACAGTGCTTTTGCCCTTCGGTCCTAAATGTGAGCTTTCGGAAGGAATCTTGCGTGCCCCCTGGGAAAACAGGATGCTGAAAGGCCCTTAAGTTAGAAGAGTGAATTAAGATAGGCAAGAAGACAGCCATCATATTCTGAAGCATATTTTTCTCAAGGCCAGATTTTGTTGGGGAGGGGGAAAATAGTTATGTTTAAGTCTGTGCTTCTTGGCAGCATCTTTCTGGGGCTGTACAGACAACAGGACAACAGGTCTAGGTGGACCTCCTCCTCCTTTGAAGCAGTGGGCCCTGCAACTGGCAAATGCTCTCCTGTTCCCATTTATTTGGGGCCAGCATGCCCAAAGCTTCCATTTTGGAAAGCTGGGGAAGCCATATGGAGTTGCAAAACTAACGGATGCTCAGGTTCTCTTGGGTGGAGTTGCAGAAATCAAGCATCCAATCATTTTCTGGCCTTCTGTTGTTAGTTCTTGACCAGATCACTATTGAACAGCAGTGTTTAAGGCCAGTTCTGCTATTCTACAAGGTGGGAAAAGCTTTGGGCCACACAGCCCATTCTCTGCACCCTGAAGCTAGTGGAGCAGGCTGGCCCATGACCTGAATGATGTGTCTGTGAGATCAATGACTTATCGCATAGTTTGTACATCCTAGCTCCATTCCATCTTGTTCTCTGCCTGCCAGCATTACTCCCACCTCCAACTTCTGCAGAAATTCTATTTCTAGGGAAGACGGTTGATTGATCAGGTATTGCCAAGAAATGCCTGGCCTTGTTCAGAATCCATCAGCTTCCCAGACAGCGCCCCCCTCATTCAACAGCAGTCTTGTCTTGGTGGGGTTTCTGTCGTGTCCTCTCGTGGCTTTTCTTCTTCCAAACTGAGGAAGCCATGGAGGGCAAGGAGACAGGAGAACTTTGTGCAACGGTTGCCCGTCTCAGCTTTCAGCCCAACCATGCTCTCTGGCCTGTTTGACCTCTGTGCTATTTTGGAAGATTGATATGGCTCCATTTGCTTTCTCAAAGGTTGCTAAAGAAAGAGAGAAGGCCCAGCAAGAAGAGGAGGCAAAGAAGGGGGAGATCAAAGAAGTCCCAAAGAAGGAACATCACACACCAAAAACTTACCGCACGGGGGTTGGGAAGTACATTAATATAGCAGCAATGTAAGTTCCTGCTGTATTTTACATTTTTGAATTTCTGGGTTCCTTTCTATGCGGAAATAAATAAATACTGCAAATGTATGCTAGGTGGAAAGATACCTTCTGCCCAGTCGGTCTTATTGATCTTGCATAAATGCTTTTCTGTGGGTTCAGGCACTCGAAGTTCTCCACTCAATAGAAACAGCCAATCTTTGGCTTGCAAAGCAGATGCCCCATTTAGAAACACCCCATATTTGGACTCAACTTTTCATTTGGTGGAACTCAGTGAATCTTAGCTGAAAATCCAGAAGGTGTATAAAGATTTGAGCAAGGCATGGGAGAGGAGGAGGAGGAGGACTCCAAAGAGAATGGAGAGGTGGGATTGAAATTGTTTCCATTTGTTTTTTAAATGTGGGTTCCAGATTAGACAACTATACCTAGAGAGCTATAGGTTCTTTGCTCCTTAGACATGGTTCCCAAAGGGGAAGGAAGGGAAGAAAGGCAGAATTGGAGGAGTCAAACAGGAATAAATTCTAGGTCAGCCCGTTCAGTGTCTAGATGAGAAATTGTTAACCTTTTTGTGCCATGCTCTCCTTTGAAGTTAACCTTTTCGGAATCTAAAAGCTATGAATTACTTACGGTTACAGAGTAGTGAAAATGAAGTTGGAACTCCCTGAAATCTATCCATGGATCCCAGCTTAAAAGCCCCTGGTCTAGATGGAGCAGGGAGAACACTTCATTATCAGAATTCCCAAGATGTTGAAAAGGCATTTAGAAATCTCTTCCTGCCTACTTAAAAAAACAAAAAAAAAATCAATTTGCTCCATTTAGAGCCAGTTAGATTAGTAGACCACCAGATAATTTTTGGTGATTGACTCCTGCTTCTCTTGACCCCTAATTTAAAACAATATTAGAACTTTCCACATTTTCCTTTTTTTAATTTTCCAGAACTGGTTCCTATGAAAGATGGACTTTTATTTTTTAATGACTATAGTGGGGGAAATCCAGTTCATTTGCACCACTCAATTTCATCCTTGTCTTCCACTTTTAACTTTCTACTCCTGTCTTCCATTCTTTTTGGAGAACATTAAGCCAGTGTCTCTTTTGTAGTGTGATCTACCTCCTAGGAAGGTGGGTGACTTGGGACCATGTGTTTTGTGTTACAGGAAGCGAGTGGCTGAAGACGGGCCATCCACCAGTGTAGCTGTCAAGAAAGAGAAGAAAAGTGGAGGCTTTGGAGACTTCAGCTCTTGGTAGCCCATGGGGGAGGGCCAGCTCCAAATAATTCACTGTCTGGAATGGAGAAGACCAGCTTTGTGCCTCTGCTGCTGTCGCAAAAAATTAGACCATTCACAATATTCTTTCAGTGAAGCATGATCCAAACAGAAGGAGAGGGGTTCCATTTCACAGTTGAATGGCTGATGGACAAATTTGGAAGGAGAAGGCAGCATTCAGTTTTGATGGTAAACCACGGTCCTTCCCAAATTGTGCCTTCTGGTCCACCATTTTGAACAGCTGCCCAGGTGCTCGTAAAAAAGCAGTTGCCCTCTGCAACCTGGTGAGTTTCCTCCTAGAAATACAATTCCAAGCCAGCATCTTTGCTTTGGAAGAGATGATGGATACAGATCTCCATCGCTATGTGGCGAGATGTCTCCTTCAACAAACTATCTGATGCTGCAGCTTCTCTCTCGTGTTCCTTAGCTACTGAAGAGCTGTTGCTCCCCCTCCTCTTTGATGTGCAGCAGAAAGATATTCCAGCCCACTGAGGACACCTCTAGGAAATCTCCCTGTGGCTTTAGGCATCTAGCTCATTGGCCTAATCCAGGTAGCCCGCATTATCTTCTCCCTTTGGGGAATTAAGCCACCTTCTTTTGGAGCTCAGAGGGATTTCTAGACCCTAGAAGGAAACTAATCTAAAAACCGTGTAAGTGATACATTTCTTGTTAATGGTGAGAAATGCAGGTGGGTGGGAGTTGAGCAAAGAATAGTAAGGGGGAAGTAAGTGCCTATTTGCAGAAAGGCAAAATAGCAACACAGAAGGGTTGAAGCACCTTCCACCAACGGTTGCTTCTGTCAGCAAAAGGGCCATATTTTTAGCCCTTTTTCTTCGGGTGACCTTTAATGGCAATGCTTTGGGTGCAGTGCTTAGTTCCTTATCTCTGCAAAGGGGAGACAGTGTCTATTTAGGACAGGTTTCCTGAGCTGCAGTACAGGCGCGTGCAAGGGGTCCAGCCTGGTTTGGTCCACTCCTGAAATTGTCAGCACGGGCCATCCAGCTTGGGCATTCTAGGAACTCACACATCTGGAGGTCACCAGACCTCTTGAGTTGGCCACTCAACCCGACAAGGTCAGGAATAGGGGCACTGGGTCTTGAAGCCCAGCATGAATGTCCTTGCGCCTCTCACAGCCCTGTTTTTAGGTAATGCAGTAGCATTCAAGCTAAAACACATAAGGTGGTGTTTGTTTTTTTTTAACTCCTCCCCACCCACCACTTTTCCTTCTGCGATGATCCCATTGACAAATGTTCTCTAGCAGGAGGAAGATGTCATCAAAGATGACAATTAATTCCATTCACTCTCCAAACGAAAACGAGAATTGCAACTTGTCATACAGAGCCGACCTAAAATAGAAGCCGCCTTTGTGTACAGTCAACGTGCGAGGGTCTGTGCTATCTGACTAGAGGTTGTACCTACCACATCACTGCATTTTTCTTGGATTGTTCAGCGATTTGCTGAGATTCTTAAAAACTGTATATCTAGCGTGTGTAAATTTGAAAAGTTATCTTTGAAAATTAACTGCGGCAATGTTCTTTTGTACACAGGTTCCTGGGTCACAAAAATTGTAAGCAGGATAAATCATGCGGAGTATTTTTCATTAAAGCTTTCCATTTTCATTTGCTTCCTGATTATCAATTTGGGCTTTTTTTTTTCCAGAAGCCTGCCAATTTAGGATTCCAGCCCCCCCATTCTATTGGCAGAAAATGAGTCACCCATATTTTCCAAGATTCACAACAGGGAACTAGGGCTCTTTGGAAGAAATGATTGCATTTTGGGGGGTGTATCAAAGTAGAAAGAAGGGGCAGGACAAGAGGTGGAAGAAAATTTACAAAGCTAGAAGGTTGGTAAAGCTTGCCAAGTTCAGAATTACCTGAGTTTATGAAGGGGAATATGTTTTAAGAAGAAAAACAATCCTGGTTTTTGCAAACTCATTTTCGGACCGTTCGAGGCCCACAAAAAAAAAAGATGGGGGATGACTTTACGGTTGGAATGATTAGCAGAAAGCAATGCTGAATTAGAGGAGGAAGGTACGCAGCAGAAACTTTTGGGGACTTCTTTGCTCACCAGTGAGGAATGATGTGAAATGAAGAGCCTGTTCATCTCTCACCTGAGGCTTATGCAACATGTAGTGACTCACAGCTTCGTGTCCGATGGTCTCTCTGGAAAAGCAGTGAATTCCACTTCACTTGCTTATCTCACCATGGGCTGACAGGCACCCTCTCTCCCAAGCAGAGCCTTCACCCGCTAGAATTGCTACATGTCAAGCTCCCGGTGGCCACTAGATCCAAATTAAGAACACAGTGGCTTTCCTGTTTCTAAAATGTGAGGATATGGGGGGACGTGATGGGGGATTATATTCTGCATCTCGTTGGCAGCTACATTAAAATGAAGAGAGGACACGCTGCTGCATTATTCAGGAAAACGGGCTGAGCATTTCTGGTGTTCGAGGATCAAAGTGGTCTTTACCTTCAGAGCAGAGGCAGGTTTCTCCAAATTGTTGGAGTGATGCGCACGATGACAGAGGGAGATCACGCATCCCAGTTCCATACTTCAGGGATGGGCAACCCGTGCCCCAGCACCTGTTTCAGGGCCAAAAGCTAGGGCAAGTCCACAGGGAGGCAGAAAATACACAATAGTTGGGAACTAAGCCAACGAATCTGATTACCGGTAGGAAAAATGGGAAATGCATAATCAGAATAATCAGGCTCACCCCAAAGCCCAAAAAGAAACAAAAAAACTGGGCCCTGCCCAGAGATGGCCCATGTCTGCTTTCCATCAAAGGTAGGACAATGCCCTCCAAATCGCCTGTTCTTATACGATGAACCATGGAGAGAATATTATTTCCTGCGTATCATTCCGCTTAAAACTATGAATGGCTTCTAAACATCTGAACTGTCGCTAGTTCAATTGCAGCTTCTTTCACAATGGGATCGTGACTTTAGTGTGCGTGTCACTGAATGGGGGAGAACTGACTATACATGGAGCTGGTCGTTAGCAGTAAATGTTCTGAGTCATTGAGATGACGATTTCCTGATAGCAAACAGGATTACAGCTGGTCAAAATGCAAGTGGACCTTTTCCAAGCACTCTGCATGGCTGTGTCCTTCCAAGTCCCCCAAGGAAACTTCTGTTAAGTGTAAGTTAGTACTACACTCAAGAGAAACCTATAATACTCTGAATGGAGTTGTTCCAGCCATTTATGGTTTCCATGGGACGTGTGTGCGTGTGAAGGAGGAGGGTAGCATAAATAAGAACCTGAAAATCATTCTGGGACAAAGATGTAGTCTGAAAGCACAGTAGCAGGACCATTAGTGGCTGTAACAATTTTCCATAAAGAACATTTAACAAAGCTTATAATGTCTAGAGCAAAGTGTATCACAGAATGAGTCATTCCTATTAAGAGAGGTTATGTAGGTTATTTATGTTTTACTGAAAAGTTCTAATTTTATATAGAAGACTCCCCTTTTAATGCATGATCTTTAAAATAATTTTTTAAAGATCAGAAAAAATATTCAGCATGGAAAAACCAAGCAGGGCCAAGTAAAAACTGGAAGATAATTTCTCTGATCTGGGTGCCCTTGGACTCATTACTTTCCTATACCATAACTGTCTTCCTTGCAATTCTATTATCAGTCCCCAGTATTATGTGATTTTTTTTTTACAATTAATAATCTGGTCTGAGATAACAAAAGCCATTTCAGATGGACTGAAAAATCAGCCTTTACATGTAATCATGTTCCAGAACCTAAGGACACAAAAGAGTTCCTACATGCAGATCTAATTCTTGAGAATTGCCAACAGAGTAAGCTCCAGACCATTGGTGCATAAAGTCATCAAACTAGTGCTGTCTCTTCAACAGGAGTTGCTTCCCCCGCATTCTTATTTGAATTAAAAAATCGCAATCCCCCTTTCAAATCATCCGGACATGACTTGAGTTGTGCAAAATACTGCACTGCCCCCAACATTTCAAAAAACTCTTCCCCCAGGGACAGTGAAAAAGTTTGGCACTTTGGAAATCCAAATGGATCCTTGATGATCACAGAACGGCTTCTCCTACTTCCAATCGAGAAATACTCTTTTCTGAAACTTGCTGGGCATCAAACGGAGCATTTGGTGCACCTAAGGGCACATTCTCTGCACTTTTTGAACTGTCGTCTTTCCTGCTTTCTTTAAAAACAACGGGCAAATGCTTCAGACACGTTATTCAGTCAAATGAAATCCTGAACTGTGCTGGAAGGACATACGCTGGATGCTTACCTCCTTTCCTGCGGTGATGACTATCTCTGGACTGGAAGTGATGACAAATCCTTTGGTTGACCAAGTGTGAACAGAGGCATCCCTAAGTTGAATTAAGAGCAAGGAGGAAAATGAATTGATGGGCACTTAAGTCTTCATTGTGTCTACAACTTTGCATCTTGTCTTTCGCAAACCCATTTTTTATGTTTGGGCTGACGTTCTGAATTAGCCAATCCCCACCTTAACTCCATACTTATCAGCAGGCTAAGAAAACTTACCATCCACCGGCAAATTGGGTACTTAAGCAAAGGATTAAAATTGTATTAGTCACTACCTCAATTCTTGGACTGCCCATTGGGACACAGCCCAGAGCAACTCTGTTCACACGCCAGAGGTAAATATCTGCAGTGTGGGGACGGTGCAACCTCTCAAAAAAATACAGACCAAAGTTCAAGGAGGACTGAACACATTCAGTTGCCATAGATTATGGGATAGAGGGATGAGTCAGATAAGAGGGGAAAAGCAGCGTTATGGGAGAGGCCACGGTTGGCTGCCTACGTTGGTGAGCAGAAGCTAACAATGCCAATAATTGTGTGGACTGCGCCCACAGTTTTTTCTCCTAATTCTTGGCCTGTGTAACATCACCTCCAGATCGAAGCCTCCAATGAAAGGAAGGGAATCTTCTGCCAGATCAGCAACAGTTTGTGACAATTGGCCTTTGTGCTGCTTAAACACACTGGGAGGGAGGCAGGGAGAAAGGAACAGGAAGCCTTTTTCAAACATCCAAAGCTACCTCTTCTGAAACGTGGGAGCAAAACCTTGATCCGCCGTAAACCCCTCTGCTTTCTCACGAAGCAAAAATGACTTGTTTACCTACTGTTTTGGGAGAAAAGCCAGCCCAAAGCAGGGAGAAAAAAAAAAGTGACATTCAACAAAAAACGGAAAGTTTTTATTGTGATACTGTCAAAGAGATACAATAAAGTGAAACGACAAATTGTGTACAGTATTGCTGAGGCAAAAACCAGGACGAAGCCACATCAGCTGCAAAGTAAAGCATTTTTTTTTCCAAATTGTTCCAGCAATGAGGGATAAGCCAACTGCCACCAAAGCATGTGTTCGACACTACGCGTTTGCTTCTCTGAAACCCTTTTTACAAGTCACACTATTGGTTGGTTTTACACTCAGGATAATGAATATGGTGCTACTGAATCATTCACTTGAATATTCCCTTCTTGACCCACAACGCCACTTAAAGATCTCATTATGTTATCTTTCCAAGTTCACATGAAATGTATTATGTAGATTTAGCTTATCAGAAAGCAAAAATCAAATCTCGCATTTCACATTAAAGGCCAAAACTAGGTACTCTTTTCATGCTGATAACCATTGTTCATGGCCAATATGGGTTATCCGTTTTCCTTGAGGGCAGGCATGAGGTCTAATTTCCTCCGGATCCAAGTGAATTTTCAGTAACAGTATCTGCCACACAGCTCTATCATGTAAGTTCTCTACAACAACCATGTAATTTGGAGGTGGTCTTAGGTAAGATCAAAACATAGATAATAGATTCATAGAAGCAGCACAGCGGGTCAGATCCTCAGCATAACAAAACTGGTGGGGCAACTAATAAATGCTGCCAACAATCTTCTGGAAGTGTGTTTTTTCCCCCCCTAAAAAACATTAGAAGTGATCCACAACCGCTAGCCTCAAAGGTACAACTGCCAGCAAAAAGAAAGAATTCAGACACTCTACCTTCAGATGGTGCTTTCAAATGGATGCATTCCCATAGAAGAAATAGCTGAGCGAGGGTAGCTACAGAACAGCAATTCTTCCAAGATTTTACTTCTGAGATGCCCACCAAGAATTAAGCATTCTCTCCCCTACAGGGTAATATCTCCTGAGGTTTTTTTTTTTTTTAGAGTGTCTGAATTGGCCCTGAATCAGGTCAGATTGTGTGGTTATTTTACAAGAGCCATGACTATGAAGAATAAAAACACACACTCCAAAAATGTAAATGTTGTCAGCATGTTCCTCTAAGTGCCAATGAACAACCTTCTCAAGAACCAGCTTGTAGTCAGTTCACCTACTTCACCAAGGGGAGGAAAATCTAGTAGATAACGCATAGATGTTCACAAAAATCGCTGTTACAATTTATAAAATATAGATATATATATATATATATATATAAAATAAATGTTAAGATCAACAGTAATAAAAATAACAAGCAACAAAAGTGCTCAAGTTGAAGGGAAAGATTAAACTTACCCACAAAGCACACACAAACTCTTAAATAGAATACATTACAAAAAAAGGTTAAATGGGAAAATGCTTTGTAAAATGTTCAAGTATTTTTTAACGTAATGCTGGAAAGTTCAGTATCCAGACTGATCTTTTATACATCAACCAACATCCAGCAGTATCTGGATTCAATTTTCACCAAATCTGTCAATTTGTAGTATGCAGTTTTAAAGAACTCTTACAGTGCCAAGTAAAAGAGCCCACTAATTCCCAGGAATCTAATACAGGAATGCTACTTGAGACCTACACAATTTGTTCTGGATTTAAAATTCCCCACGGCCTTCCTATACCTTGTTTCAAAATCCATTAAAAAATATTGCTCTGTTTCGTATCTTTAAATGCTTATCACTACAAATAAATTGCATTAGATTTTAAGCTGCAATTTGATGTTCCAAATGCCTCTTTTCCCTCTTTTTGGCATCCAGGTTAAACAAAAAATTCTAGGGAAATTGCCCATGTTCATGTACTCAAAAGGCCTGCACGTTACATGCAAATGTGTGAGAAGGTGCCCCTTTTTCATTATGAGAAAATACACCTTGGTAGAGAGCTAGTTAGTATAAAATCCACTTTATGTGGATTCTCTATCACTCAAAGTGAATTTTCGGCTTTATGAAAAATACAGTCACATTTGTGTGTAACGTAGTTTGGCCCAAGCATTTCCTGATCAAAGTTAAGTTTTCGCATGAGATTTTCCCCTCAAGTTTTTTTTTTTTACCCCTCAAGCTCCCACCTTCTCAAAATCCTGACAAAGTGGCCTTCAGATGATTGAGAAATGCATCAGTGTGAGCACTAGCAAAGCAAATACTCATTGTTGAAGGAAAAAGGTTCTATAGCTAGCATTGCAAACCAAACAACCCTGTGAGTCTGGCTGCTGAAAATTTCAGAACTTTTGCTGTTGGCAGTCGATACTGATCTCATAGGATAATCTAGTTCTCTATTATTGCCATAAAGCAATAGAGGGGATACATCAAAACCAGACCTTTAAAGGATTTGTAGGGAGGTGTACAAGACGTTAATTTCGTTTGAATGTTAGGACTCAACAGGCTTATGTCTGCACAAGTCAGAAAACTTACAGGACATGTTATGGGTGCTGGTAATAGTTCCTATGCTGATTACTCTCAGTCCAAGGGACCTGTACTAGCAGTGCAGGGTAGTTGCAGTAAATCAATTATTATACATCCAAACGTACTCCCTAACAAGCATCTCATCTTCGAATAAAACCATGAGGGCTGAAACTGCTGCTGTCTGGATGTGAATCAAGACGAATCCCAGTTCCACTGCACTTTAGATAAGGCACCGGACTGAAGATTCATGGGTTTAAAAATTCATTCATACTAAATAAAGCACCAGAATAAAGGTCAAACAAAATCTGAGACTAGCTGTACAGCTCTTTGGATCTGAATGCCTAAAAGGTAACTATATACACACACTTAAATAGATATATTCAATATCCTTTTTGCATCACAGTGTAACCATTCTTCTTCCCAAAGAATTTACTAGGGAATTAATTCCTCAATCAAGAGGGGAAGTGGGGGGGGGCGTTTAATTTCAGGAGAAGATAGTTCCTATTTTTATAATGAAGGATACAGCTAAAGTGCAGTTGAGATCTGAACGTCAGTTAGAGGAGTTTAGTAGCAGCCATAGGGAGAGACAATGCCAAGCTTAGCTGCAACAGGTAAAAAGTATATTAGAGTTTCCATTGTAAAGCTTCCTATATTATTATTATTATTATTACAGTTACTGTTATCCATGCTATCAGCAGTTCTGGATTATTCAGATAAAATGTTCTCCTATACATTTTTCCCCTTGGAAATATTGGGACAAAAAAAATGCAACCCACCCCCCCAACAACCCCAAAATGTTTTCAAATCTCTTGAAATGGTATGCATAAAAGTTCCTGTAAAGAAATGCTACACACATTTACACATTGTGGTCCTGTCTGATCCGCCCCACTTAGAATCAGGGGTGGCTAAAATCCCAAGATGATATTTTTTTTACGTAACAGATTATTATAAAATTGTGCTTAGGGATGATTCAGCCAGCAAATCAAGCACCCCTTTTAAAAAAACTATCTTCTTCATTCTTTTTCTTTCTTTCTTTTTTAATGAAGAGCTTATGCCAAGTTGCCACTTTTTACTTGCTTACAAAACTTACAACCTCCTCCAGGTGGATTAGTGACAGCTTTTCACACACACTCGTGCACGCGCACACACACACACACACACACAATTTGGTGTGCTTCAGTACTGCCAAAGCAGGTGGCTTTGAGGACATTGAATTAACTTTTTCATCCAGTGCATTAAAACTAGGTAACTACATGGAACCAGCCATAAAACCTCAATTGATGTACCCCTTCCCATTAAAGGTACAGTACCAAAAACATTTTAAACCGACATATTAAAAATAAGAGCTGCATATTTTTCAGTCCTCCGATCTTGAAGACACTGCTATACATTCTTTTCTTTTTAACAAGAGCAAAGCTTACACTTTCTTCAGAATGTATGGATTTGGGTCTACAGTCTTAAGTTATCCTTGCAAATTATTACTCAGTCTCTTCCCTGACAGTTTCTCTCTCTTTTTTAAAAAAAATAGGAAAGCAAATCCTTGCTAACTTCAGTCAGGGCAGCTAACTGAATCTTTCACAAACCTAGCCAAAAGATACCGAACGGGCTGTGGTACACTTAAAAAAAAAAAAAAAAGATGTAATAATGAATAATACAATACTGCATCCTTTTCACTGCAAAGAGACCACAGAAATGGCTATATACGGGGTAAAATAAAGATGTACTAATCCCATACCTTCCCAGGACTGTTCATACAGGCCTCTTTCAAAACTCTGGAGCAAGTGATCAGCAAAAAGCACGCACAGCACAAAGGAGCAACTGAAGGCGTCGGTCAAAAGAGAGATGCTATCTAGTAAAAGTTACTTGGAATTATGGAATCATTCCTCAGAGTATAGAAAAAGTTCATCCAAAATAACCGTTTACACAGGAGTACATATAGAAAAAGAGGGGACTTACATAGAGAGGAGAAAAAAAAGGCAAAGGATGTTCTGCAGGGAGGGGAGGACCACAACATTACACCACTGAGTTTGGTGGCTTTGAAAATGCAGAGATTTTCTCAACCACCCAATCACCGTTTGTTTGTTTGTTTTCATTAGTCTTTTTATAAAATAAAGCATGTTCCAGAGATCGGTTGTCCAGAAACAAGGAATCGTATTGCAGTTCATTCCCAGCCATTGTCTTTGATCATGTGAGCAAGTTCAATGATGAATTTTCCTTCCTTGTATTTCTGACTGCTCTCAAATGCATGTTCCTAGGCAAGAAAGGAGAGTTAGTACTCCATCCATCTCAGATCAGGATATACCTTCAAATGAATAACAAAACCCTTCCAATTTTACACCCTACCCCAAACAGACATGATTGAACCTGAACCCCGAGAGTACGTAGGTCAGTGGGAGCATCAGCCACTATGGCAACAGGGTTTGATTCACATCACCTAGAAGGTCTTTTTTGCAATAAAGAGAACTTTTGGGGTTTGAGGTGAAAATTACTTGTGACCTTCCCAACATCCTTAGCACATAAATGGAATCAGGACTTAAGAAATGGGACTTGTTTAGAAAATATATTTCCATTCTCAACCATCCTGTCAGACATTATCTTGAAACTGGTTCACACATAACTATAGTGTCAACCAACTATGCATTAGATGATAGGATCTGAACCCACAGCTACATCTCATGGAAAAAAGAGGAAGCTCTGATGTCACACATTCTGAAGGCGGCATGGGGCAGAAAGAGGCCACACAGCCTTCTACACTTCTCCTCTCACCAGAACTTCAGCCAGATGTCATGCATTTTATCCACTGGCTACCAAGGCTCTTTGAAATCTGTATATGTCTAGCTAAGAACAAGCTCTCTTCATCTGAAAATGACCAAGAGTGACCCTCAGCCTTTTAAAGCTTCCCCACCTTTGCTCTGGTTGGAAGAATGTACTGGGCCAAGTGAATCTGTAATGGTGACATTAGCAATAGAAATGTGAGCACGGCAAGCAAATTGCTTATATTCTCTGCCCCGCAAAATCTGGAGTTGGCCTGCTCAGTAAAGGCTGCACAACGAACTAACACAACTGGTGCTGAAGTCTGGACTGCCTGCGACTTGCACAAGTCTTCCTTCAACCGTCCGCTCAACCAGTTGACCCAAAACATACAGGACGGGCAGGCATCGTGTGCTTCCTCTTTCACTTCAATCTGATACCAACCAAGAGAACTGAACTGAATATCAGTCGAGTGCCGAGCAGTTGCTTACATATTTCCATCCAAGTGTGGTTTTGCAGTTTTCACAATAAATATCTGCTACTGCATGCAAGCCCGTCAGAAGAACTCGCTCTTCTGCAGGACCGCAGCCCACATTCACCCTGCAAGAGAGGATGGGAGAAACACAGACTGTTTCATTGATGTAGAACGTACGATGCAGCTTTATGCAAAAACAGAAAAATATCACTTCTGGCCAGGACTTGGAGGAAAATGTTTCCTGAGCTAGATTGGAAGGCTATTTTGAAGACGAGATAGGTTGTTTTCATCTTCCAAACCAAGCTGATTTATGAGTAATACCTAATACAAAACAGGGATGCGGTGTAATTGTGACTTGATATGAAATAACTAAAAACAACTTAAATATGCATATTGCCACAATCTAAGGGAACCAGGCAGAATTGCCCAGCTGTGCTAAAAGTTTCAATGTGTGTCTTTTCAATCTGTGGTGCTACCCAGACAGCCCAAGATCATCCCTTCATGTCAGTTAAAAATGTAGTGAGGCACTAAATATGCATTGCTAAAGACTGACAGTAAGGGGAGACAATGGTGTTAGAGTTTTCCAGATGCCCAACTAGATGGGCCTTGGTAGGGTAGAGTGAAGAACCTATGGCCCATCTGATATTCAACAATATCAACATTTCCTGTCATTCCTTAGAACAGTGTTTCTCAACCTTGGCCACTTTAAGATGTATGGACTTCAACTCCCAGAATTCCCCAGC